ATATATATTAATATTTATACATATACATATTATATACACAGAACTATGAAACCATAAGGTATATTTTACAAAAGAGGAGTTTATTTACAGAAAGAATCCACAAGTGAACGCATGAACACATATCGTGTATGGCAGTTAATTAGATAACTTTAATTCTTCACTTTAACTGTACACAATCTCATAAAAACCTTCCTTGTATATGTACACACGAACTCGTTAAGCCAGGAAAGCGTATTTGCACCTATACAAAAAACAACAAGTTGGTGCCGTTACAAAATATTATATTATGTAATATGTACAGAACTATGTAACCAGAAGGTATATTATACAAAAGAGGAGTTTATCTACAACAAAATAAAATTGATAGGAAAACGCAAGAACACATATCGTTTATGGCAGTTAATTAAATAACTTTATTTCTTCACATTAACTGTACAAAATGTACATAAAAACCGTCCATGTATGTACATACGAACTCGTTAAAACGGGAGCAAACCTTTGCAGCCACACCCTGCAATATCTACCAACTCTCTCAGTGCTCTCTGTCTATGTGTCAGCCCCTTCCTCCCGCCTCTTTCTCTCTCTCTCTCTCTCTCTCTCTCTCTCTCTCTCTCTCTCTCTCTCTCTCTCTCACACACACACACACACACACACACACACACACACACACACACAAGCAAACACACACATAGACGCACAAATACACAAACACGTACTCCCCACCTCCCCTCTTTCTATCTCCCTCTCACATACACACATTTTCACACATACTTTCTTTCTCCCTCTCTCTTTCTCTCTCTCTCTCTTTTTCTCTCTCTCTCTCTTCCTCTCTCTCTCTCTCTCTCTCTCTCTCTCTTTCTCTCTCTCTCTCTTTCACACACACACACACACACACACACACACACACACACACACACAGGCACACACAGACACACACACATATATAGACACACACACACTCACACACACATAGACACACACATAGACACACACACACACACATACACACACACACACACACACACACACACACAGTTGCGTCAAGTTGAGAATTCTTGTCAGGAAAAATGTTGCCTGGAGATGGCCGCTTAGACTGAAGCAACATACGGAAGGTGTTGGAGAGAATGTTAAAAATTGCTGAGTTGTACATTTCAAAGGTCTTGGTGGAGAGGCGGCAAAGTCGGAGCCAGGCTGGTTGGGACGTCTCCACTGTCAGGATATGCCGTTTGAGGAAGAAGGTAGCAGGATGTGGCCTGGGGGTGTGGGGGTGGTGGGGCAAGGAACTGGTTCCACACGGCCGCACTCTCTGGACGTTCCGTTACAGAAGAACCGTTGTCTGGAGATGACTGATTCGCTTGAGCAGAGTCCGAAGAACTCTCGGAGCTCAGAGAACACACAGAGCCCTTACTCACAAAACGTTCTGATGTGTCCTCGTCCTTGAGAATCCTAGCAATCTCCCAAATGTATGCTCGGTGTGTCGGGGATAGAGCCAGAAGCCGCTGAAGACAGTGCTTATGTTGTGGCTTGAGAAACGAACCGTTGTCCACTTCTTTCAGATAGTCAATGTTGTCGCGAGGAGCAGTCCCGAAGAACAAAGCCCACAGCAAGATGCCCAGGGAGTAGTTGTCCATCTTGAAAGCGTTCTGAACTTTGCTGTCGTATAACTCTGGTGGCTGATAACCGTTGGTGCCTCCCCACCCGTCGGGCTTGTCTGTATCCTCGGGAATGACCTGAGAGTGACCGAAGTCACAGAGTTTGACCCTGCCGGCTCTGTCTAGGAGAACGTTCCCTAGCTTGAGATCTCCGTGGATGATGCGCTGACCGTGCAAGTAGCACATGACGTCCGTGAGCTGACTTGTGTAGGATTCCGCCTCGAAGTAGGTCACGTCAAGCAGTCCATGGGAAAGATCCGTGGGATGATACCCCATCGCAAAGCCCAAATAGGACGGGCACTGAAAAGCAGCCAACACCCTGACGATGTTATGGTGCTCCAGGGATTGCAAGAAGGACAGCTCGTGTTCAAATGAGGCCCGTTTCCACATCCTCGAGGTATCGTCGTCATCCTCAAACAACAAGAACTTCTTCAGAACCCTTTTCACCTTCGGTTGTCGAACTCTCGCCGCTACGATCACCTCCCAGTTGCCTCTGTCGACCAGAAGTTCCATCTGAAATAGAAGAGAAAGGAGAAATCAAGATTAATGAAATGATTGGAAGCAAAATGAGAAAATTGTTGTAACAAGATAAAATATGAAAGGGGTGAACGAAAAAATGTTGTATACCTCGCAGCCTGGATTCGCCATGGTAGGCAGGGTCATAAGCCTGCCTCGTAATGAATCTTAATTGTGTCCACAGCTGTATTAAAACGCCTACATTAAAAAAATCCCTAACATTGCCTGATGACCCGTCTGCACACACAAAAACTGTGTACTGAAACAACATTCAACACTAGCGACATCAAGAAAATGGGTTTGTTTTTAATGATTTGTTTTCCCTTTTGGTGAGTAAAATGATGTTGTGTAGATTTCTCACAGCTTAACAACTAAGAAGCATTATTCATCTTTACAAGAATATTGTGCCTAAGTGTCCAAGGGGCGTTGTTTGTTTTGTTTTGTTGTAAAGTTTACCATGTCGTTTAAGATGAGAGACACCGGCTACATCGTCACAAACAAGAACACAACATTCGCGTTTTAGATAAGAAGGAAGTTATCGTCAAAAATGTATTCTTAAAAATGATGTTTGCAAAGAATTTGTTTTTCTTAGTAACGACATTTAGTTTATTTGGCCCTCCTGTAAAAAAATAAAATAAAATAAAACATTGCATATTGCACTTTAAAAAATCATGACAGAATTATTACATTTGCAACTTATTTATCGCATTTTGTGTTTTGACGGACGAACTAGAAGCAGCACGGATGGTGCAGTTTTGCTAGGCTGTAGACATAGAAGAAGCAACATTGATACGAGTACTGCATATTTCTTCTCTAACGGAATAGTGATTTTCATAAGTACATAAATCCTGCTTGAATGTGGTAGTCGCTAAAACACTGGTTACCGGAGTCAGGAGCTCAGACTGAATCTGAGCAAGAATTTCCCGAGATATCTTTGAGGTTGTTTGTTATCATGGGAGAGTTTTTACCCCCCCCCCCCCCTCTGTAACTCTAGGTTAGTCCTATCGGAGACGGTTGTGGATTCTCTCTCTCTCTCTCTCTCTCTCTCTCTCTCTCTCTCTCTCTCTCTCTCTCTCTCTCACACACACACACACACACACACACACACACACACACACACACACACACACACACACACACACACAGCTCATGGTCATCAAACCAACTGGATGAACAAAAGTTGTGTTGAAAAAAGGGTAGCGCTCAAAGTTATTTAATTAACATAGGCTCACCTTGGTAGACCACACAAAGCAACTGATATGTGTGTGGTAATGGCAGTCTGTTAACCAGGTCTTTTAGATTATATATATATATGTGTGTGTGTGTGTGTGTGTGTGTGTGTGTGTGTGTGTGTGTGTGTGTGTGTGTGTGTGTGTGTGTGTGTGCGTGAGTTTATAAGTGTTTTAAGCAGGGTTAGTATCAACTATATCCGTGGAAGTATCAATGGGTTAATGTTATAGTTAGAAGTCTACTATACGTTGCAACCTTCACATACTCTGATATTTCTGTCTGATCTTCAACTATTGTTCATGAAAATCATTTCTGTGGACACTTACATATGTCGATTAACTGATTGTATGGAACAATTGATTGTGTTGGATTCTGATTTCAACGAAATTCCATTAGGAATAAAAATAGCACACTATATATTAGGTCCATTTAACAAGCGTGACTTACTTGAAACACTTGATGAAGATAAGAAAAGTAAAAGTTTTCCTAGACCACAAAATTTATTAGCGTGATATTGTTCTGATTTATTTCATTTCAAAGATGAAACACAAACACAGAGATAGACAGAGGGGAGAGAGCTAGAGAGAAAGACAGGGGGAGAGAGGGGGGAGAGAGAGGGGAGAGAGAGAGTAAGAGAGAAAAAAGAAAGAGAGGAGAAGAGAGAGGGAGGGAGAGGGAGAGAGAGAGAAAGTGAAGGGGAGAGAGAGAGAGAGAGATAGAGAGAGAGGGAGGGAGAGAA